GAATCATAGTTGCCTGTCAGTTGTGGATTAATGTCAGGAGAGCAGCGTAATCCCAGTGAGAACAATGGCGTTAATTTGTTGTCTAAGTGGGGTCATTATGCTTGTTTTGTCAGGGATGTAGTGCAATGGTGCCTTTTCTTTATGCTTCAAACAGTTCATTAATCTCTGAATGTGAATCCTTTGTATCTGGACCTTTTGTTATTTAAGGTTTCTCTAGTCTAACATTATATAAGGCATGAAGTTTTATTTCACCTTGGTAGAACTGTACAGGTTTGATTTCTCTCCACAATGCAATATTCCAAACTGCAGTTAATAGATTGCAGATAGGTTGTTAAACTGGAAGTGCATCAGGTAAATGAATACCATAAGAAACGTTATAAATGTGGCTCATTTGATTACTAGAGGCTAAGTGAACTGAGGATCTGAACTGCCTGTGTTTTGAAAAAAGTCAGGGCATCAGCTTCGACAGCATGGCCTCACAAAAAAGTGACTTCTGTTCTCAGATATGTTGCAGTTGCCTGTAAGGGGTCACTTGTGACTTCTGGTTTGTCTTATTGAAAAGAGGTCTGATTATTTGAATCCTTGAATCAATTCGCTTGAGGTCTGCTCTGGACGAGACTAAAAAAGTTAAGTTATTTTCGCCTGTCAGTGGAGGACATTCCTTCAGGCCCAGAAGAATGTGTCTGGTGGTCCTTCTCTGGACTGACTCCAGAGCAGCAACATCTTCTTAGTCACTTCAAAAAAGCTGTTGCAGAATTGTTACCAAATGTGCAGAAACAATTCTTCAGGCTCAGAAATGTCCTCTATAAATATTTTGAATCGTTTTTCCATGAATCTTCATCTGAAGTACATCTGCGTGGCGTGCAGCAGTTTAGCCGATGTGACCATGTTTATGAGTATGTGTGAGCAAGGCCATGCTGAAGTTTCTCTACAGCTGATGCAGCTGCGAATGAAGGCCTCAGAATTCCTTTATTTTAAAATGCATAGCTAATATTTGCTATTATTTTTAACATTATTTATAATTAATGCATCATGAGCCTTTAAAGAAACAAGATTTTAAAGAAAAACTACATCAAGGAGATGCTTTCCATAGACAGAATATTTATTTTTTCCTTTTAGTTATTTATGTACATACCAATGTCTTTTTATAATTTCCTTGATAATTGCAACTGTTTGTATTGGATATATTTGATATTATAGAAGATTTCATCATTTTATGGATGTTTTTCAATATCTGAACTAACAGAAGTCATTTCAAGCCATACTGCATTCGTATTGATTAACCAACAGCTCTCCGAGGTCTTTTTCAATGAAATTTAGGAATAGATAAATTACTAGGAGCAGGATGAGCACGCAAGAGTAACTGGCAATTTAAAGCTTTTATTTTGTTCTTATGAGCTATCAAAACAAGAAACAGCAAAGGCAAGACAAATACATTTATTTCTCCTGTGACTTTCCGAAGATGTGGAGAACGATCTTTCCACACTGGTTTTCACATTTAATCTACAATGTTTCTTCTGGTTTCAGAAAGAATGAAGTGATGTTAAACCCATTTCCTTAAAGACCCACATGCTATATTTCTAGTGTTTGAAGGAGCTCCAAGTTTACTCCATAAACCGTCATTTTCAGAAGGCGAACTGTGGAGTGGCCAACTGTTGAACCCCATGGAATTCAACTTTTGATACATATTCTATCTGATGCAAAAATATTTAACTGATTTTATCTATCTAATACAGATGTATTTTACTGTTGGAGCTAAAAAAAATATTTTAGTTAAAAAAACAAAAATGTTTGTTAAAAAATAATTTTAGGTCTGTGTGCCCAAAATCCCCAAAAGGATCGAAAAACAGAATTCAAATTCTTATGAAGCAGTATTTTGGTTTGGCGTCTGCAGAACTTTTTATTTGCAACACTGTAAATATAGTTTTTTGTCACTAAACAGAGACAGACTTAAATGCCATAAAATTGGTGGCTTCTTCTGTGAGTTCCTGTAAGAGACTTGAAATAGCTTAGACACTTCTCTCACAACATGTTGACAGAAGATGTAACCCTCCTGGGATGAGTGTCTGGGATCACTCCCTGAATGCTCCCGGAGTTTAGGTGTGTTCACTTGCAGAGGACATCATTTGCTTCCAGTGAAAAGCTGAACTCAAGCAGTTGTAAAGGAACATCTGAAAAGTTGTTCCTTTACAATTCATCCACAGAGGAACCCACAGCATGAAAAGGCACTTTTCTTCCCTATCGTTTTTGATGATGAAGTAGACTACTTGCAAGAAAAGACACCTTCCAGAACGCCTCGACTTAGTGAGCAACATATGGCAACATTTAAGGGTCCAAGTTTTGAAATAAAATGAAATATAAATTAAGCCTTTCACAGGGACAACACGCCATTATGACCTCAAGCAGGCTATTCCCATGCCAGGAATTCTTGCGGTCGCTGAACAATTTTAGGCATCAAAAAATCTGTTTCTGTTTTTTTGTTTTTGGGCTGTGAGTTTGCCATTCGAGTGAGAGCAGGGCCTATCCCATTAACTTTAGATGGAAATGTAGTCAGGGGTAAATCCCTAAATAAACTCTAAACATCAGCGGTGTTAAATTCTGTAATACGTGACAGTAGACCATTGCATTAAACTGTTTATGAATAGTTTTGTTTGTTTGTTTTTAGCTTTTTTTGCACATCTAAATGGGATTCTGCTCTGTAGAAGTTATCTGAAATAGTTTTATTTACTCCACACATTAACCATGTTTTTGCTTAAATTCACTTCATTTAGGCAAGTTCCCATTACTGATGAGATTTACTCTGCTTTAAATTTCAAATTAACATGAAATTGCACCTCTAGTTGCAAATGAGGTGCCAATTTGCATTGTCTGTAGAAACCATTGGTTCTAATCAAAACTAATTTCTAGAAGTTGTACTAGAGAAGTATTGAGAAAAACTGAGGCACGTAATTGTAGCAATGGAGTGCTGTTGTGGTCAGAAGGTAGTGGACAGACATGAAAGATGTAGACTGGTCTGTCTTCAAATGATGATCATTAAACTATCCGGCTGTATACAGCGTTAAACAATTTACGTGCAGTCTGAAATGTACTTCTCCTCACCATGAGGTAAACGTTTTCAGTTTATTATCTTTAACTACTAAACCAAATGAACATTTCCTGTTCTCAAATCACTGGCACATCTGTACCTCAAGTGGACTTAAGAACTGTCCTTAAGAGAAAAAGTTGAAATCCTGCTGACAGAAACACTGAACATACAGTAGGTATGTGGGCATGCAGTAAAAACAGTTTCTTTATCCAAAGTGGACAGAGCAAGGAAATGATTTAAAATGTACATCAAATTTAAAGGGCAATCTGAGGAAATGAGGCCAGTGAAACAAGAATGGAGCTCAGCGGTGTTACGGTTTTCATTTTTAAAATTATGATTCTTCCTTCTGAAGCCATGACTTCTGGTTTGACTCCCTTTGACTCCTATCAAGACAGCAAGATTCGACTCTAAATGTGTTCAAGGTTTTAAGCATTTAGTTTAGTTTGGAGTGGAGACCATGAAATTCTTTCAGCCTCGAAAACATCCTTGTTAAATTAAAGCCAATGAGGCAAATCTGTTTCTACAGTCACCTCTGGCCCTTGTGAGACTGAAAGTGCTCCAGATTGACTCAATCAGTGAAGGTGCTCATTCATATTTTGGCCGAAGCCCTATTATCGGGATATTTGATCCTGGGTCACATCGCTGTGATCGGCATTCAACAAGTAACTTTGTTTGTCAAACCACAAAGCAACACTGCTGACAGAAAAGGAATAATTGTTGAGGCTTTAGGTTTTTACAAACCATTCCCTGATACCTTCTGAGCTAACTCTCCTGATGAAGTGACATTATTGACAGGCTTTACACTATCTTAGCTGTGTACTTCAGATAAGGCTGCTGCATGTTTAATATTTCAACAGTAAGCTGATGCTGGTTGGCAGGGCTTGTGCACACACAGATAACTGAAAGAAAGGCAAAGCTGCTTGAAAGAATGATGCTTTACAAATCTGTCTTTGAGCCAAAATGGAAACACATCTCCCAGGGTCTGTGCAGAGACAAGTATTGTCTGTGCCATAGCAACTGCAGAGGATATTTTGTGGCTTATGTCTCAATGTATGAGGCGTCTGCCAGATGGAAATCTGTGTTTTTAGAGCAAACAGCTCTCTCAGACTGGCAGCTTTATCATATTCACACCATCTTCATCTTACAGCAGATTCTCGAGCCATTCCTTCTCCTGGCACTTCAAGAGCTGATATTACAACTTTTACAAGCTCTGTTTAAACTGAGACATTCTATTCTGCGGTGTCTTTTCAAAACATAAAGAGCATGTGCAGGCATATACTACAGGCATCTTCAAAAAGGAAGACAAATAAGCTTTAGGCAGTATAAAGTAGCGGTACAATAAAAATAAGTAAGTGGGGTATCAACCTGGACAAAACAGTTTCAAAATCACAGGCTTTCCTTAGCTACGTTTCCAAATAGGTGAACTACAGAATTTTGTTTTCATCACAAGTGAAACTATAGTGTCTTGTATGTTGGAGGTAGAGTAAAGATGAGGAGTTTGGAAAGCAGGTTTGTAAATGTCAGACCCTCTCATCGCCATGTACTGCCCCTGAGTTACACTGCTAGTTATAAGTGGAGCATATGCAGAACAACTAATCCCTCTTTGAAATGAGAAGCTGAGGTCTGGATTCGACCCTAGACTAAATTCCTCACCCCCTGGAAATGTAAATAAGTTTTCTCAGTGTGCAGTGTGACTGATTAATGCAAGGTACCTGGCCTCAAGCAAGTAGGATGTGTTGGGAGTTTTCTGTTACCATTACAACCCATTTTTCTTGATGGTGGCCACCTCCTCTCAGCTTGTATCACTCTCTTTGACGACAGGGAGAGCCCTGTGATCATCAGTAATACCGTCTGTGTGCACTGTAGCTGTAGCTCCAGTGGCCTAATCCAGCTTGACGTCTCTGTTTGCTTCCAGCCTGGGGCAGACAAATGAACACAGAGACCTGAGGAAAGTACAGCAGACAGAAAGGCTTCATCACACCATCAGCCACATCTCTGAGGCCATGAGCTATGAAACAAGGAGCTGGTGAACTGTCACCCTTCATGGTAAGTGTGTCTGCGCTCAATGATCGTTTCCCAAACTAACCTTTGAGGTAAGAAGAGCCAACAGCAATTGTTCATCCTATGTTACCTCGGCTCTTTTTAATGTGTGTTCTGCAGCAATGACTTAATTCTACAGAACCTTCATATTGAATCTGCCCTGACATTCGCTGTGGTAGCCTGGTTTTGTAACCTTACTACAGGCAATAAAAAGAGACTGAGCAGGACTATGAAGGAAGCCAGCAAAATAACTGATGCACAACAACTACAGCTTTCAGACATCTACGTCATGCAAATAGTACAGAAGGCCAGTATAACCAGTGACTGTCATGACCACCCCTTGCACAGTGAATTCAACCTCTGTCCATCTGACGTTGATTTAGACTGCAATTCAAGAGCAATAGAACTGTCATCTTTTATTCTCACACCTATTAACCTGTTCAATTTGGACAGTTGACTGCATATTTTATGTTATGTCTCTAATTTGTTAATGGGTTTATGTTTTGTTAAATGTGTTGTGTAACATATTATATCTTTCACTTGCCTGCAAATTTTGCAACTCAGACTATATAGTCAGTAAACTAGAGAAGTTTTTTTCATTACGAATTTCATTCAATGCAATGGCTCCTGCATCAGTAAACTCAGAAACATTGGGCTTCACATGGATTTCTGGTCATATTTAGTCCATAGATCGTTCTTTTGGTCCTCAGATATTGATTTTACTGAAGATAAGAAGCAATTTGTTTTTTTTTTAAAGACTGGTTGGCTCTCTGAGGTTCCAAAGTCAATTGCTTGCTGTGCTGACTATTTAAAGATGACTGTTACGTAAAGGGAAAATGTACTGTAAAGGTCAACTGCCTTCCGTTCATTTGGACTTCCCATCTGATGTGACTCAAAGCTCTGTTTCTGGTGTGTCTGTGAATGGTGCTGCTGCAGCATGGAAACAATAGTCTCTGGATACTGAAACAGAACAGAGTCGGCAGGAAGAATTGAGCGAGGAGGAGGGGGGTGGGGTGGGGAGGGAAGACCTTACTGACAGGAAATCTGCCAAGCTCTGCAGGAAAGGCATGACCCCAGCCTTTAAATACTAATGCCAACGTAAGGTAATTTAAATTAGAAACAGCGACATCCTCATCCTTCTGCACGTTGAGATCCACCCCTCATCTGTTTTTCAAACGAGGGGGTACTTTACCAGCATTCCTCCCCCATTCCCAGCAAACATCTCAAATTGACTGCACAGTGCCTGTGGAGCGCGTCGTCTCTGAATTTCTGTGGGAAAGCAGAATTGAGGTCACGCACGCACGGAACATGACAGAGGTCGCCGTAGAGAGAAAACAAAAAAAAAAACCCACAAAAAAACTAAAATACAAACAAGGAACCGGACATCACAGCCACCCTTCGTCGCCGTGTCCGCTGTGTTGGTTTTGAAAATGGAGTTTAAAAAAAACAGGCCAAAAAACAAAGAGTTTGCTTGTACTTCCCACTGTTATGGTAGCTGGTAAGGAAACAGAGCAAATTTACTGCTGGAATATGTGACCTGTTTCACAGAACGGCCGTCACACTGCAGAGCACGCAGAACGTCATGTGCCAGAAGCCTGTGTACTCAGTTGATGTCGGCAGTCTGAAACAACACAGTGGGCTTTTGTCTGCAGCTTTGGCCTGCTAGATGAAAGCCAGGGGCCAGCAGGCGTACAAAGTGGCAGATTTAGTGCATGTGTACATCCAGAAGAACTATGGACACAGGGAGGTGTTAGAAAACAATGTCATCGCATGACATAAAAAACATTTCTTTAACCAGAAAGTCACATTAATATTAAGATGAGGAGTAGAAATACGATTTTAGCCCATTTAGTTTAGAGATGACTTTAGGCTGTGTATTTAGGTTAGCCAGCTTATTATAGCCTGTTTTACAAGACAGTTGAGCAACGCCCCTAGATCATCTGTAAATGTTGCATTGGGATCGTTCATGTCTTATCCAGGAGATGAGACTTCTAACAGCACAGCTCCCTCTCTCATCCTGTGGAAATGCTACAGAGATTCTATCCCAAAGGAAAGGGAGCGCAATTCATGTGGAGTGTGACTAAAAGGGAATAATGATACCATGTGCCCTGCATGTAAAAATCTTGGTTGTGCCATAGTAGCAAGCGACATCATTCTCATTTGGGAAACTGACTAATGCATTAAATATGAGATCAGTTGTTTAGCAGAGCATAATATTATTGTGTGTTAATGAGTCGTTTCAGGATGTGTCAGAAAGGTCACATTGCTGCAGACATTTTTTTGCAATGTGCATCTTTCACATCTCTCAGCAAACAGTTTGTGAAATATAATGTCTGTCAGCAGAGGATCTACAAAAAAACTAAGCATGCATTTTCATTCTCTTTTTTTTAGGTGTGAGGTCGTTACAAAGAGACCAAGCAAATATGGATGACAAAAGGCAGGAAATGCAGCTTTTGAGCAACAGTATTGCTGCCTATGCTCATATTAAAGGTACAGACTTTTCACTGCTCTCTTATGAGCTGGCCGAGCTCAACAGCACACTGACAAAGTACATCCCTGGGGGAGATGTTGTGTGGAAAGCTACTTCAGGAGCAGCCCTTGAATTAGAACGATGTGCTATGACTTGTGTGTTTTCTGTTTCTGGAGTCACATGCTCAAGTGTTTGCGGTGCAGGAACTGGAGGATTTGCGTACATCCGCTCTATAGGGATCATCGTGCAATGAGATAGAGTTAAATACAGAGGATAAAACATCAGAGCCCATGTTGGCCCTGTCGATATTAAAGGCAAAAGGCCCTGTCACTAAAGGTCCCCCTCTCCCGTGTCTCTTTGTTTCATCCAGAAAACTCCGAGAGCTTCGGCCTCTACTTCGTCATCGGCGTGTGCTTCGGCCTGGTGCTGACGCTCTGCCTGCTGGTGATCCGCATCTCCTGCCGGCCGCGCGCCGCGCCCGCCCCGGAGAAGAGGAGCCTGAAGGGCTGCAGCCAGGAGGAGGAGGGCGAGGACGAAGACGAGAGCGAGGAAGAGGAGGAGGAGGGGGGGGACGCCGCGGCCCCCCAGCCCGCTACCGAGACCGCCATGGGCAACCACAGCCAGTCGGACGGCACCCTGAGCGTGAACGTCTTCACGTCGGCCGAGGAGCTGGAGCGGGCGCAGCGGCTGGAGGAGAGGGAGAGGATCATCCGGGAGATCTGGAGGAACGGGCAGCCGGACATCCTGGGCACGGGCACGGGCACCATCGGACGGGTCCACTACTACTAACGCCTGCTCCCCGGACCGGGGCTGCTCCGTAGCCAGCATCCCTGCTCACCGGCCCCGATCGACGCCTGCTAACGGAGCAAGGAGACAAACACGGTCCAGCTCCTCTGTATCTGACCTTCACCTGGGAAGCACATATCACTTGAAGGTGTTGTTATCTGTATATCATGGAACTCTCTTTTCTTTTAATCTGTGCTTGAACTGAAGACTGAAAACAAGCAGGGTATGAACCCCACCTGTGCTTCTTTCCATCGAGAAGGTGCCTTTGAACTGTGAACTGGAGAGGAGAGGAGTGGATAATTGTCACACCTTTATCCTCTTTTTTTAAAACCTTTCAGGACTGATGAGGCGAAACAAGAGACTGTTTTTTTCCACGGCCACAGTAAGCTTGAGTAGTAGTTCGGTCTTTTTGAGACATTTTGTTTCGGATATCTGTGGCCTTTCAGCCTGAGGAGTAACCCTCTAGAAAGAGAGTAAAAACAAAGAGACTCATTTGTGCGAACAGTCCTTCTTATAACTGTATGTCGGAAATGTTTTTAAATGAGATTATTTTGTATTCTGTATTTTTAAGAGTGCACGCAAATGTCTTATCTCCACTGTCTCTAAAAAAAAAAACAGTTAATAACTCCAGCAAAATATTCTTCTGGTACGACCCTCCCCAAAATAACAAGTCGGATGCTCACATTTTTATTTTTGTATTCAGAATTTTAATATCGAAAGTGACCGATAATTTCAGCCTGAAGTAAAAAGAGTCTCGGCAGTGGCTGGATCTGATGTTGGCGCAACTCACTAAGGCATTTGCATTCCTGAAGATTACAGAAAGAAAGAATACGTTCATGTTTCTTTTCGTCTATTCATAGGAGAAAAAGAGGTAGGATTCTGTAGACTCCCAAACCAAAGGAAATGGCACCATTACCCCTGAATCCCTCGCCCACCCATGAGCACTGTGATGGCAGTCCAAAAAACTGCCAGTTGTGACCTCTAAAACAAACAGGATTTTTCTTTAAAAAAATGTTCCCTGACACATTAGCATTGCAATAAAGCAATAATGCTGATCTTTATCTTGGAGGGCTTACACAACAGAAAAAATTCTCAAGGACGGGGAGTATTAATGAATGCCTCTTCAGCTTCTCCCAGAGCTAGACTTTTCCTTTCACATGCAGGAAAAAGTTTCTCTGTGGCAGAGCAGCAGGTCCAGAAGTGAGAGCCCGCCATTGAAAATGTTCCAAGCTAAAAACAAAAATGAAAACATTCAAAAAGCTAGTTAATACAAGATAATACATATACATATAATAAAAAGCCTCATGAAAAACATCAATTGAAAATAATGTCCTTTTTATTTCTGCTAATTATAATTACCATGACTGATTTTTAGTATTACACTTGAATTAAATAACTGCAGTGCTGTCTTTTAAAAACACTGCATGTTACACCTATACAGTATGTATGAGTCAAAGATATCAGTGCTTTGTCTGGTAAGTACGTGTGATATGCCAAATAGATGTAGATTAATGAAAAATGTATTGCTTTTATGCCAAATTGGATATATTCTAAAGTCCAAATCAGTCAATAAAGTCTTTGTTGGGGGCAGAGGGGGGCAGATTTGACCAATCTTCTAATCCTATTTAGTCCTTTCTTATTGCCTAATCATTTCCTGGACAAAACCACCTTTCAAAACCAGTCTTTAAATTTAGGCTTTGTAATTCATGGTGAGCTTATTTTGACATTCAGTTCATTCCAGGTTTTAGGCGACTTCATTCTTTTTGGTATTAGTCAGTTCGGCTCATTTTAATTTACTCCAAGCCGAATAAAAAGCAAGTTTGTTTGAAGAGCTAAGAACTGGCTTTAAAACAAAGAGCGGACGGAATAAAAATAATATTGATATATGGCTTGTGTTCTAAAATGCTCTACGGTTCATTCCCCTCAAGGCCATTTTAGAATATCACATTAATGCTGGAGCCTGCAGACAACATCAGGCAGAAAAACAAGCTAAGTGTACATTTCCACCTTTCCTGGAAAATGCTGGACACCCATGGCTGAACTGTGCATAACACTCATTTTCAGATCACTTAGTACTGCAAGTAAAAACACTGACTGCAATGGAACCAGACCAGACCAACGTACACACATTCCTTCGTAGCTGTGACCCTCAGCAGCAGATGAAGTGGCAGTGGACTAATTGTGGTTATGCTTTGAAGTGGTGAATATGCAGAGTGGCTCACTCAGTAAGAACTACTGTAGGTGTCTTGAATTCCAGCCTGGATCATGTGACTAGCTGACTGTAACCAGCATTGCCCCGAGAGGCATCTCACAACAGGCCAGTGGTAGGCGGGGGTGGGGGGGAGGTTGGGATCTGTCAGCTACCTGATGAAATAGCAGTCTCCATGACTTTATGGGAGCATGCAAGATCACAGTAATGTCAGTGAGGGGTGCATCTCTTCGACCAATCGGCGTCAAACCTCCACATTGGGTGGGCAGGTTATAAAATAAATTGGTTTGAGATTCTACATTTCCAAAACAAAAATAAGCTAGGGACTTGTTTTGCATCCCTTATCCCTTCTTCGGGGTATTTCCAGTTCAGTCAAGAGTTCAATTCTGAGTGCAATAAGAGGGTTTCCCTGGAGCTGCACAATCCAGAACAAATTTATCTTTAAAAGGCTGATTGTGTTGGTTGCACTGCAGCGTTTGGTCATATCCGTTTGACATTTTGAGCATGGCCAAAGAACACAGCAGGGGCATTGAAATGCAAGGTGCCTTCTTTATGCAATTGTAACGAAAGGCTTACGTACTTACATCTGGAGATACAGGGTGATCACATGCTTAACCTCTCAGGCTCTGCTGCTGAGAATGGGAGGCATTAATTTCTCGACCAATGATTGACAGGGGTTATTCTGTATGTCTGTAAAGAAGGGCTCTTCGAGCAGCCGGTACGTGAGGAATGGTCAACAGAACAGATCGTATGTGTGTGAAGTTCGTGAGAGGAACAGAGTTCAAAGAGTTTGTATTTAAGTTTTTTATATAAAGTGCCATGCTTTATTTTTTTACAACACAGCATTTCTGAAAAGACTAATAATGTTCATCAGGCATGTGGGCATTTGTATATGAAGTGCCATAAAACCTGTCATGTTACAGGAAGGACAGAAGAAACGTGCAGAACAACACTTTTGGGCTACAGAAAGAAAATTCTAGACAGCAACAGACATTTTCTTTTTTGGCCTTTGGTGCTATTGTAATAGAGAAAACATTTTACAGAAAACTGACTAATGCATATATACTGTATACATCCTTTGTACATTCCTGCAGAAATTAACTTTGTCTTGGCTTTAAATGAGGGGTTTTAATCTTCAATGATCACAGTCACATACCAAAGAGCACTGTCACGTGACAGCTATTTTGTCTAAGAGTACATCACAGCTGTAACATCTAAATGACTCTTAAGTCCGAGTTTCTGATTTCTACAAACAACAGCCTGTTTTACTGGCAGATGCGTTCATGAAAGGCATGTTAGTTTTAACATCCTTGCTGGATCATCAGACATTATCTCCTTAGACCATTTTTTTTTGTTAAACCCACCTGTCATGCTGGATTTCTCAGAAATATACAGGCATTGTTTATCTGTTGCATTTCTGTTTACAAACCTTTAATTGTATTTTGTCAGTTGAATAACTTCATGACCCAGAAGGAGGATACATTTCTAAATATGAATATTTCCCCAGTTGTCTTTCTGGGATTAATTTAGAATTTGAATTAGCCTTCTGCAGGATATTGGAAAGATGTTAAAATGTCATCTTCCTTAAGTGATTATTCACATTTGTGTCATGTACGTTTTTCACATGAAAACGTGAGCATTCCAATTGTACGACAACTTCTTATCATTCGTATTATTCCCTTAATACAGGGTATTCAGTGGTTCTTTGTCACTTAGGCATATGATGAGATTCTTTGTTTTTTTTTTAAACTTCGAAATAAAAATGGCTATTAGTATTTTAATAAACCAACTGCTGCTGCCTTAGTGTGTTCACTTACAATGAATGTTATGAAACTAATTTTATTTTGTTTGTCTGTCCTTCTGTGGGGCCATTGTCTATAGGTATTTAAAGAACTGAAATCCTAAAAAATGATTTGATTTATTGCAGCTGCCATTATGAGGTCACTTGGCTTGGCTGCAAACACAGTCATTTTTCATCTACTGTCTGAAAATATTTGCAGTCAACATTCATCATATTACTCCACCGTGTCCTCCTGATAAAGGAAAAGCCATAAACAGCCTATTGTAAGCTTTCAAACAGGAATGAGTTGACCTCACAGACAGGCATGACACAAGGAAATGCTAATTAAAGCATCTTAAAAGAACAGCAAAATATACATCTCCGTGTGGGAAAGAGGAACTTGCTGGCTTGCCAAGACAAGGCACTGGAACTTCTTCCCAATGGCTTTAAGGCCATAATTTGTGGTTCAAAAACAGAACTGAGAAAATACCACTCTGTAAATAATTCCCATGACCGTATGCCCTTGAGATGTATTTCCCTTAATGGGTTTCACATATCATTCACTAAAGCAAAACCTCAATACCAAATGGCTGCACTTGTTTTTAATCTTGGTTATGTTGTGCCAAAGCTACATCCAGGCCAGTTTTGGCAGGAGTGGGTAGAGAGCCATACTTGTTTAAATGTTTTAAAAATGATTATGGTTAATGACAGTTGTGGGTCATGTGATTGTGAAATATATACATAACCCCTACCCCCCCTTGGTAAATCAGAAGAAACTCTGCTCATGTAAATATACGTGTGGATATGGAAAGTAGGCCAATGAGTGTAGATTGTTGTACCAACAGAAGCACACAGCTGAGGCGAATACAATATAGTGAGATTAGCTCAATTCAAAAGATCTGTGAGAACCAGGTTTCCTAAAGCATTTACAGAAAAGCCTAGCAGAAAGGGAAGTAAACCTGAAATGATTTTAAAGGAACTATCCCCACATATAAAATGGGAGGTGAATTTACATTTATTCATGCCAGAAAACTCTTCCCCCTCTCTTTTCCTTATATTCTAGAGTGGAGATCTCAGTCACCATGACCTGCTTTCTTGAAGATGAGGAGCAATTGGTATTTATAATTTAATCAAGCAATTAATTAAGTTAAGGGAATTAGTAGGTCTTCAGATTTGTGTTCCAAATGATTTTGAAATATTGTTGTTTCGCAGTGCTGGGGCCCTGGGTTCAGTTGCTGGGGTGCTATCAGCATGGAGTGTATATGTTCTCCGCATGTTTGTATGGGTTTCCTCTGGGTGCTTTAGTTTCCTCCCACAGCTCAAAGACATGCTGATAATGTCATTGACCTTAGTGTGTGTGTGTGTCTGCCCTGTGACAGACTGGCATCCTGCCCAGGGTGTAACCTGCTTTGTGCCCCTTGCTTGCCTGGATAGACTCCAGCTCCCCGGTTTGATAAAGTGGTTACAAAATGGATGAATGATTTCTAAATTACTTAATTAAGAAACAGTTTGATTGCTCACAGTTCAGTTGTGTTTTTATGTAAAACATACTTAAAACAAACACTAAGTAATGTACTGATGACTCCTAGACAAGGCTGTATATCTATAGAAATGACTTATAATTCATTTTAAGACTCAACTCCATTTAATAGTTAAAGATCATACTGCTCTGCATCTTAGCTTCTTTGTGTGCGAGGGCTGCAGTTGTACACAAAAGTGGCCGGACTCAGGCCCTTTCTTTCTCCCTTTAGTGGAAGCAGCTGATTGGAAAAGCTTTTTGTCCACGTTTCATTATTAATTTTCCATTTCCTCCGGACAAAGTCATACTATACTCCCTCACATACCAAGCCAAACCTCCAGTCTCAGCTAATTTTAGCAGATCTCCACATTTCCTATAGAAACGTGACCTGTGCTCCTTTGCATCCTTTATTTCTGACTCCTAATTTCCTGTGTTTTCATTTTAATACTCCAAAGCTTCTTTCGGTTACAGAGCCTCCACTGTTGGCGCTCAAATGGAGTGTTCTTGAGTTAAAGAAAGGTTAGTTATTACAGACTGCTGACTTATTATAGATGAGAAAGTCTCTGTTCATTAAAGCAACAGCCACAGACGCTCAAATGCAAATCTTGGTCATTATACAGAACTGAGAAAAACTAGAAAAATAGCTGATGAATGATTTTGGATTCATTAAGACCTTGTATTTTTCAGAACAAAATCTTATATTTAAACCTATTTGTATTTCAAAGAATGATTAGATAAAATGGCTACGGTTAGTTTAGTACAGCATTAACATCTATCTTCAAGCATTCCTTAACAAATATAGGAAAACCACATTCTAGGCCACATTTGGCTTTCCGTTAAAGAGCTACTATCTCTGAAGAATGAGAAACACGGACAGCTCTTTTTCTTTAGCTTTTGATAGTTATATACAAATATAATTTTCATTTTAGCAAGCCAAATTGTACACACCTGTAATTAATGAAAAGTGCAAGAGAAGATAACTTGAATTTGCTTAGTCAGAAGAATTAAAGTCCACTACAAGCAATGAAAGCCATTTTCTCATCTTACCTTGCCAATTGAGCCAAAAGGAAACACACTCAATAACAACTATTCCATTCTCCTGAATGCAATTTTTAAAAATAGCTCGTTCCCATGGCATTTGCAGAAGCCCTTGAGCTGTAATGAATCGCAGATGTTTCCCAGATGTTTTCTGCAGCCCTCAGGCTTCCCAAAGATGCCAAAAATCCACTGAGGATTGAGGGAATTGGTAAACACTGTGACACAGACCCAGAGTTCAGTGTTCATAAAAGGCCAGTCACCATTTGCAACAAAATGAAAGAAAAACTGAGAATTAGAAGCTCTGACTCCTAATGAAGAAGGAAATTTCTTGAAAAAAATACATCTTTAAATATGTCTGCAGTTAACCAAATGACAGAATGAATTATTGTCATATTATTGTTACATTAAACAGATAGCACAGATGTGTACTACAGAAACACACTCCCGAAACATTGTAAGTGTGTTTAAAAATCGGTATGATTGAAGAGATGATCAAATAAATTGAAATAACATGTTAAAAATGTATACTTGGATTCGAGTAGATGTTCTCTACAACAGCATAACAAACCTCTTTTAAATACATTTTACTCAAAAAAACTTTGAGTTTAATTGAAAAAACGTTGACCTCAGTTGTGAATACTGAGAACTGATTAGTTTTGCTTTTCTTCAGATTTATTGTACTGATATTCCTAAAGAGGCAAACGTATCATTGATACATGAGGGTCAGTGAAGGGTTTTCCAGCAGAAGAGATTAAATTACCTGGATGGGAGACCTCCTGCAAAAAACTAAGGTTGCTGCTGGAAGAGGTGTAAGTAGGGTCAGCAGGGGGCGCTCACCCTGCGGTCTGTGTGGGTCCTAATGTCCCAGTATAGCGACGGGGACACTATACTGTAAAAAAGGTGCCTTCTTTTCAGATGAGATGTAAAACTGTGGTCCTGGCTCTCTGTGGTCATTAAAAAGAGTGTTTCTCGAAAAGAGTAGGGGTGTTACCTCAGTGTCCTGGCCAAATTTCCCATTGGCCCTTACCAATCATGGCCTCCTATTAATCCCCATCTATGAACTGCATCACTGTTCTCCTCCCCACTGAGAGCTGGTGTGTGGGGAGCGAACTGGTGCACTCTGGCTGGTGTCGCATCATCTAGATGAGGATACACATTGGTGGAGGGGAGTCCCCACTACCTGGAAAACACCTTGAGTGAAGTGTCCAGAAAAGCGCTCTATAAATGGAAGGAATTATTACCATCGTAATAATTCAGGCCGACAGTCTACGCCTGTACTCAGCTCACAGTATCGGATTCTCTTGGATTTTCCGTCCAATGTATGTAAGCAGTGTCCTCTAGTGTAAGCTCTGGGAAGTCCAGTAATATACTTATGAAAAACATTTTTTTTTTAAAGTTGGTCCTGCCAGACTTTGGTCTGGAGAAATATGCACTAACAATTATCGAGCCTAAAAGCTAAATAAATTATTTTGCCTAAGAACACCACTTTTCATTTCGCCTGCCGTCTTTCCCTCAGTAAGTATGGCTACCCGCTCTGTTCTACGTACCCCTGCATACTTCCGTGAGAAATGAAGGCAAGTGTTGGCAAAATAGTGTCCTGGGCTGACGTCAGAGAGCGCTGTCGTCGCTGATTGGGCAAAGGAGTTCGCGGGAGTTTATGGCGCATGTGCTGTGAGCTTTGTGTCTGGTGTTGTGGCGCGCTTAAAACGTAGAGGAAGAATTCTGCTCCAGGTGTCTGATATAACCAAAACTTTTGAGCTACTAATAGTATTTTTTTTTGTTGTTCTCAGTATTGTTTTAATATATTCTAATCATGTGGAACCAAGGTAAGAGGTGTTAACCTTGTTCGTTGTAAAACAAGCGCTGACGCTTGTTTTAACATCTGATTTCTGGATTAAGCTGCATGTTGGACCGCGGTTTGTTTTGATGAGCAAGAATTTGAAATTTAGTTTGATTTACCTAAAAAATGTAAAGCGGTTTATCTTTTAATTTTCACTTAAGCTTTATTATACAGGATGCTACAAAACACTGAAAGAAGACCGTTATCCGTTTCCACTCGATTTGCTAACCAAATACTTCGAGATAAGTTTGAAAATCCAAAGAGAAATGTAATTATTACCGTGAACTTGGTAGTTGAATGTGAGTCACAGGTATGGGTCAGAACTGTTCTTGCTTATGTACGTAAATACAGTAGTAGTAACAAGACCTGTTCTGAAAGCTCGTTACAGCATCTAATTACAGGTACCCATAGTACTGACAAGATTTATGCGTCCAGTAAGTAAAACGACAGCACTGTTTTTAAGGTTTTTAAGGTAATATTTAGGCGTTTAATGATATTTGCAGTACAGAATTGAGTTTAGATGCAAGTTTAGTTTCAGTTGCAATACTTTGAAGGGACGAGCTCTTCCACTGGGGCCTCACAGTCCAGCTCAGGACTGTCCAGTCCTGGTGCCGGTACCCACTGTCCAGCAGGCTTTATACATCTCATTATGGGTGTAAGAACTGGGACAATCTGTTAAAGTGTCCCAATCTGGCTCAGCTGGGAGGAGCCCTGCAGTGACTGCACCAGAGTTGGGCACTCCTGGTCCACAGCTCTCTGGTCACTTGCTCACTGTCTAGGCTTTAGACGATCTGGTGTTTCCCAGGGAGAGCTGGTAGGGCCGGTGAGCGTGGACACCGCAGTGTGAGGCCGTCAGGACCCTTCTGGTCCACTTGCTGGGTTTCTCTCTGTAAACGGGTCTCTGTCGCAGGTTATGGCGACTCCAGCATGGCGGGGGGTTACACACAGTCCCCCGGGGGCTTCGGATCTCCTGCCCCCTCGCAAGGAGAGAAGAAATCGGTGAGTACACCGATTCTCCGGAAGCGCACCCGGAATAAGAAGGCAGAAACGGAACCCATACCCGCCACTGCCCCGTTGGCATGCGCTGTCTGATCTCCATTGAGGTAGAAGTCAAAGACGGGGGCTCATGCCACAGGAGCAGAAATGTTCTTGTGACTCGGCAGATTTGCACTTTGCCTTGCTGTGCACATTGGTGAAGTGAACGGAGACTGGCCAGCTGTTCATCCTGTACCCACCGAACACAGTGCTGGGGGGGGGGCCCTGGGGGGCTCATCCCACCCCTGCTCTTGGCGACACTTCTCCCGTTGGGCACGGCCACTTGGGACATCCTGGTCACGGCCGGAGTCGGCTTGAACCCGTGACGCAGGCCAACCAGGGGGACGAGGGGTGTGGAGCAAGCACCTTTACTGGTTGAGCCACTTGGGCTCCCAATTAAGTTGACTCGTTTAAATTAACTGAATTAATTGGCAGTGTGGTTGGCCCGCTGCGATGTGTCGGACTGATGTGGCGCCTGTTCTTTCTGCTCGTGCCGCAGAGAGCGAGGACACAGCAGATCGTCCCCTGCACCGTCTCCCAGCTGCTGTCCTCCTCCCAGGCAGAGGACGTCTTCAAGGTGGGCGAGGTGGAGGTCTCCCAGGTAAGGGCAGGTTCCGCTACGGCTCACCCGGGTGGCTTCCCACCAGGCCCTGCCTTGGGTTAAGCTCCTCGTTAAGGGTGTTATCAGGTCCCCTGCAAAAGCTGCGTTTGAGTGTCGTTTCTTTTGGTGCAGTAACCCCTTGGTTGATGTTTTTGTTCTGCCTAAAAACACACTATTATATGAGGGAAAAAAAATATGCATACTATATATATGCTTTCGGGATGGTTTGACTTGGAACGATTCCAAGTCAAACGCGGTCAATGAAAATTCTTTTTGTGCTTTTTTTGTATTATATAACCTATTTCTATCGTGTCATAAATAGACAATAAAATTCGCTAAAGCAAGCAAAGCACAAACAATACCCATCATAAACAATAGGCGTACCCCTACAGGGCATCGTTGAGACTGATGGGTAGTATTTATTTTCTTTTTTTTTTTCTTATTCGTGTATTTCATTGTTAATGTGGGGAAAGTCTGATATTTATAATTTTACAGAGAAATTCTTCTTTAGCGGGTTTAGTTTATTACATCTGAAGTCCGTTAAACCAAGGGTTTACAGTACTTATTGCAATCTTTAATGTAAGGCTTGCTGTGAGGGTGGAGGGTGAAGGACCATGTGTTGCACTGATGGGAAACGCTGGGCTGATTTTGATCTGCAGGTTCACCATCTGGGTGTTTTCTAGGTCACGTTAGTGGGGATTGTCCGTAACGCAGAGAAAGCTCCGACCAACATCCTGTACAAAGTGGACGATATGACAGGCCCGCCCTTGGACGTCAGGCAGTGGGTGGACACCGATGTAAGTGCTTTTGCCTGGAATTACATCTTTCATGTAACTGGGTGGAATTTTCTAATGCAGATTCTTAGCATCCAATATGGTGTGAGTATTTCTGATGTTTTGTAGTACTGTTCTTACTGCTGTTCTTTTTTTGTGATTATTTTGTTTTTGTTATTGACGGCACTTTTGAATATTTGAATTCCTGTATTATTTTTTAATTGTCTCATTTGTATTGACTTTTTTTTATGTCTTCCAAATCGCCAATCCCCTTAATGGACTCTTTATTTTCTCTTAAATGCTCTTTTTTTCTCTTTTAAAACATCAAGATCATCCAGAGTATACAAAAAGAAAAAAAGAAAACAAAGAGTTAAAAGAATCTCTGTCTTTTAATTCTGGAATTAAAAAAATATACAAAGGAATATACAAAAGTACAATATAGCTAATCGTGAGAACAAATAAACAACTTTCCTCTTTCTTTTAACGTACCCAATTAAAGAGTATACAAGAACAGATACACAAAATTAAAATTACTGATCTTAAGAGTCCATATATCAATACAGCCACCAACTCGAACTCCAACACTACATGCAATTGATCACCATCAAAAACCACCGTAACACCTTCTTCTCTATCTATGAAGTTTAAATCTTTATTTTCTTACAGTCTTTTTTTTCTGTCCAAAGCGTTTCATTATGTAACCTGCCTTGGATAAAGGCATCAGTGAACTACCATGATGGATATTTGAAAATGGAGGATTTCATTTAAAAATGCATCATTCTGGGGCATCCAAGAGCAGATCTTTGTGAACCTTAAGTGTTTCCTTTTGCCTGTGTGTAATGTGATGCCCTGTGGTTTGTTTCGGGTCTCCCACAGGAGGCGGGCAGCGACAACATCGTGGTTCCTCCTTCTACCTACGTGAAAGTTTCGGGTCATCTTCGGGCTTTCCAGGTAATTTCCGCACTCCACCACGCTCTGCCGATTGGCCTGGAGAAAAGGCCTTCCCGCTGTTCACTTCGTATTGTCATGATCGACCAAGACAGAGCTGTGCTCCACAAGGAACTAGCGCGCTTCTTCATTGGCTACATCCGCCCATCCATTTTCTACCATCCGCCCAGTCGGGGGTTGCAGGCAGCAGGAGCCCTCCACTAGCAGCGGGCACGTGGGATGACAGCGTGTTGCAGGGCAGACACTCACAATAAAGCCAGTTTTCCCAGAAGCCAATTAACAAACTAGTGCGTCATTGGACTGCGGGCGGGAAACAGGCCACCTGAAGGAAACCTCATGCAGACACGGGGGGAACACAAAACTCCACACTGATGGCACCTCAGCAGTTGAACCAGGGGCCCTGCGAGGCCGCAGTGCTGATCACTGCCCTGGACAGTTGTCCTGACAAACTGCGGACAAACCTAGAGGCATTTAAAACTGAGGGTTTTTGTTATCTTGGTCATTATGTTATTTCCATCTTCTTAAATCTTTAATATGCCATACACATATACAGCTCTGACAGTGTTTGTAAGCCCCTGAATTTTTCTGAGATATCCTATACCAGTGTATAGTTTCCAGTTTCAAAAACCGTATTTGTTTTTATTTGCGATTTCCTGTTCTCCTTCAGGGCCACAAGAGCTTGGTGGCTTTCAAAGTCAGGCCCCTGGAGGACATGAACGAGTTCACTTCACACATGCTGGAAGTAGTGCAGGCACACATGCTTCTCAGTAGACCACAGGGCACGGTGAGTACCCAGTACCCTCAGCACAGTGCTCCCCTTGGGGCGTGTAGAAACACACACTACTGGAAGAGGAGAAATGGCAAACAAACCTAGCAGGATTTAAAACTGAGTTTTTTGTAAGATCAGATGGCTTTATTGGCTATATACAATTCTTGTATTAGGAATTTCTTTTCGCATACCCCAGCTTGCTCTCCATGAGAGACACAGACAGGGAGAGAAGCTTGGGGTCAGAGCACAGGGTCAGCTATTTATACAGCGCCCCTAGAGCAGTTGGGGTGAAGGGCCTTGCTCAGGGGCCCAACGGAGTAGGATTCCTCTGCCGGCCGTGGGATACGAACTGGCAACCTTCCAGCCAGAGAGCCACCACACCGTCCCTGTGCTCTTGGTCACTCTGTTATATCCATCTTCTTTAATTTTTAATATTCCAGACTCCTCCTTTGAAATCATTAGCTAATGAACAGAAAGCTTTTTCAGTGTTGCTTACGTTTGCACCTTACTCTCTTCTCTTGGGTGTTTTTATTAGTGCAGTGGTTCTCAAACTTTTTGGACCAAGTACCACCCCTAATCCAACTAAAGCATCCAGTTACCACCTACAAGTCATCATTTCATAGGAACCCCAGAAATTCTCAATGACCAACATGAGCGCGCGTGCACACACACTCGCACATACATATAATAAATATTATAATAATAAACTTTATTTGATATAGCGCCTTTAAAGGTGGCTTCTCAAAGTGTTTTACAGAAAAAAACCAGTAACAACAACTAATAAAAAGGCACCATTTCAATGAGAGGGGTGAGCCTGTTTAGTCGAGCAAAGCAGAGGTGAATTAATTTTTCGAGCCTTGATACAATTCACAACAGTCTTAGAGATTTTAAATCGTCAGGCATTTTCTTTACAGCAAAGGTCTCGCGGTGGACGTTAAATTGCGTCCATTCATTTCTGAAGCAACCTCTCAAATTGTGCAACACCGTTATGTCGGCTTGTCATTGCTCTAGCACCGTCTGTACAAACTCTGACGCGTTTTATCCAGTCGATGCCATTCTCTTCGATAAATTCATTCAGAAGCTGAAACGTGCTCTGTTGTAGTTCCTGTTGGTAGCAGTTTACAGAACAGAAAGTCCTAATGGGATGTGCCCTCAAACTCGTATCTAACCTTAGCAAACGAACCGGCCAAATCGACTACAGACTCATCTAATTGCAGTGAGAAGCAATCTGCAAGCTTGCATTTTTCCGCTTTTCCGTTTTTATTTCCGTATTTATTTTAAGTTTTTATTTCATGCGCATGGGAGCGAAACACAGAGACACTCTGTGTATTTTTCTCAAATTAACTTAGAACAGTTCTTAAATATTTTTCTGTTATCTATCATGCTTTCCTGTGCTCACAAGATTACCAGCGTTTGTAGCACGCATTTCTATGCATTCCTGTGTTTACAACGTTGGCATTGTTCCAAAATCACGCACATTCTCCTTCCTCCCTATTTGCTGGAGATACAGTAGCTTTTTTTAAATACAATTGGTCACTTGTGTCCGTAGCACGCATTCCTATAGAGTGGTATAGAATTACAGAGTATCTCTTGTGTCCACTGAAGTATTATCACGCACTGTATCGTAGTACGTAGGCTGAAATGTGAAAACCCGTCCCGATTTTTCAGCGCACAGGACACAGTTCCAGGGTCATTTGGCGTACCACCTGGTAGCACTCCGCGTGCCACTGCCGGTCTGCGTACCACAGTTTGAGAACCACTGTATTAGAGGAAAGTTAGTCTTGAGGCATTCATTTGCCATGTTGACCACCTGGTGGAGCACTTGAAAAAGATGAAAAGCCTTTCTAGTTTTGCAGTCATTGCTTTACATGAATTGCAGGAAGTGTGTAAGTAAATGTCAGTGCTGTCCAGTTTGGAAACTAATTAAATTAAAAATTTAAATTAATTAAAAATAGGTGCCTACATGCTTTGTTGTGTTCTGCCTCTTGCAACCCAAATGTCCTGGTATCTGCCAGTGCTGCAGTGGCATTTCATTATTGAAAGTCTCTAGCTACTCCCAGGTTTATCACTATTTTAAGGGAGTCCAAGGTCAGAACAGCTTAAAATATTTGTTTTACTGATGTATCAAACTTCTTACCTGGTTTTATGTTTGTGTAAGCATTGTCTGGAGCACAGTTCTTCATTGTGGGCTGCTGTAATCCATTTCTGTTCTTCAGGTGAACACCGCTGGGATGAACCACAGCATGGTCTCTATGTCAGGGGGGGGCACAGGGACAGGATACTCTGGGGCCAGTGATATAGCCGTGAATGGTCTGACGCCACATCAGAGTCAGGTGGGGTCTAAGGCTTCATTGCTTAACTGCTGTTTTTACCTTTGTTTAGAAATGTCAGAGATCACAGAATAATAAATACCTGTAAAAAAACTAGTCATTTGGTACACAGCCTGAACTCCACATTAACAACATTTACCCTTTCTGTAAGAGCACTTGTATTTATTAATGTTCTTGATCAGAGAGGAGCTTGGTAAACGCCAGAAGGATGGAAATTCATAGCGGTTGTATTGATCCAGACTGCTGATAGCTCTTGAGTGCTTCTGTTGCATACCTTTACAAATAAGGGAAGATGAGTCCCACAATTACCTTTTTGTCTTTTTAAGGTGTTGAATTTGATCAAAAGCTGCACTGACCAGCAGGGGGTCAGTATTCAGGATCTGAAGTTGAGACTGAAGGCGATAAGCCTCGCTTCCATAAAGTAAGTTCCTTTTCTAATGGACCAGCTATTCCTGCTGCCCAGGCTGACTGTACTTACTTGCTCTGAATATTGATGTTGGAATTTAGTGGGTAGTTTGTTTTTGGGTTTTGACATTCATTATCCAGTATATTTTTGGATTATTGGGAGTCCACCAGGACTGTGCAGTAATTCTTCACCGGTCTTATTTCTAATGTGCATTAGTCTCTTAGGTCATGATGAAAATATTGCACTATAACAAGTCAAAATACTCTGAATCCACTATTTAAATTTTGCCACACATACAGTATGAACTAGAACTGACATTCTTAGAAGCAATCAATCAGAGTTGTGTGTTTTGGGGACCTTGCAGACTACAATATTAGTTGGGGTTTAGCACTTCATACTATACTCCATTCTTTTTGATTTTTGTATCTCATGTCCAAACTGGATGTGTACATAGGACCTCAGAAGATGTTACAAGAACAATTACAAAACCTTTCAAACGCTTTTTCTAACCTTTAAGAGTCTAACTTTTGCACAGTTCACGTAGATGGTTAGTTCCAATTCAAGCCATTTAAAAACAAGCCTGTTTTGACATCTTGGTCTTTGCTGTTTTTAATTTGGAGACACTGACCTACAAGCTTTCTTAGAATAGACGCTTTGGAGTGTTTTTCGAAAGCTTCCTGTTTCTGTTTTTGTAAGAACGGAACATTTGCATTATGTGATGCAATTGGAATGTAAAACGTCTTTCTGCTCATCCAGAAATTAATGGTGTGATAAGCTATGTTTTACTTTTAATAGAATTGCACAGGCAGCGTGTTTTAATGCATTCCTGCAAAAAAACATTTACTAAAATTTTGCTGTGAAGGCTAAGTCATTGTAGTGGTTTCCTGTGGTCTTGACTGTATGTTCTCAGGAGGCCTGATATTCAACAGAACACCCCTGAAAGCTTCAGCAGCTTTTTAAGAACCATCTCAGTTATGATTTAGAACAAGAATAGAATAGGTCTTGTAAACTGAATGTCTTTTGAAGTTGTGAAGCTGGAAACCGCTTACTTTGAAGCTTCAAAGAAAGATATGGTTGATAGTAATGTGGTTCTAAGGCCAGTAAAGTGACCGACGTTGCAGTCTTGCTGAAACTTTGACTCTGGACATTCAGAAAGAGTTTCATTCAGGAAGCAGACTGAGATAAATATGCTTTCCTTTTGTAAAAAAAATGCTTTGTGCAATATTTAAAATAAAGTAATTGAAGCTGTTTTTTTACACAGTACTCTTACTCTAATTCTGTTCTTAATGCAGACAGGCGGTGGAGTTCCTCAGCAATGAAGGACACATCTACTCTACCATCGATGAGGACCACTTCAGATCCACGGACAACGACTAGGGATACTCGTTTTCACGAACGCTCCAGAAAAACCCAAAGGGCTTCTGTTTCTCTTCCTCATTCTTCTTTCCAAGTGGAAATGTTTTTTTTTTTGGCAGCAGGAACAGGCTAAGGACTTGTGTTAATCCACTAATAATTTTAATCTTTCTGTTTGCTGTTATGTTTCCTCTAAGCCTTGCCTGATTTCGCAGACTTTAGATAAGAGGTGGATGCCGCCGTGCTGTCGTTTTGACTCAAGTGAGTCTGCTATTTCTGCATGTCAAATCTGAAAGCTGAGTTTGGACAAGAAATAAAATATCCTAGTTCTCTATATGAAATGCTCTGCTTTGATGATTGCTTACATGTCTGTTCATTATTCAGTTTTTAATATTAGAAAACAATGCAGAATGTTTCATTTTATAGCTTTAATATAGGCGAGGTGTTGGACCAATGCAAAGTCATTTAAAGTGTGTGTGTCCACCATGCACAGCCTGTATGTGCTGTGGCCCAGTCTCTCCTAGTGTCTGCAGTTCTGAAGGGAGGATGTGGCACCGTTCTTCCGTGAGAAATGGAATCAGTTTGGTCCTGGTAAAAGGAGGGGAAAACGCCGTTTCAGGTGCCGTTCCTCAGAGTCTCATAAATGCTGGACTGTGTTCAAATTTGCGACAAGCAGCAATTAAGAAACTCTACGGAACTATCAGAACCATTCACTTTTTCACCAAGCACTTGGCTGTAGAGGTCTTTAGGTTAGTGCAAAACTGGCACTCATCAATTTGGTGAAAACATGGTAAAGGATGATTCATCTCACCATATTGCATTTCTCCACTGCTCGGTAATTCATTGCCTGTGTTCCTTGCATCACTGGACTTGCCAAACGTCTGAACTGCTCCGTGGAGTTCTCTGGACTGTGTTTGATTAAACGGGGTGCTGATCTACCAGGTCGAAGGTTGCAGTGAATTGATCTGCAGTTGCTTGTTTTGCCTTGCACTTTGAATATCAAAGAAATTGAAACTGTACACAAGCCTGCATGTACACGTGTGGTGGGATTTCAGAGCAGGAGTGACATGCTTGACTTACCAATAATACTGCTGGTTAAATAAAACAAGACTGTGTGCAAGTTCAGAAATAACTGGTGATTTGTTAAACGTGCCCAAAGTGGCGTAACTTTCATTAACAAATAAAAGCATGCAAGGAAGTAACTGGTCATTATCTGATGGGAAAGCTAAAGAACATTGACCCTGAGTCACTGTTGCATCACATCATTCCGTTGATTTGCAGAGTGACGGTTTTAGTTTCAAGCCACACTTGGTCTTGAGTAAAATAGTCTATTCCAGCTAACAATGTGTGATGCTTTCAAGTGATTTTCACTGCCTTTTAAAACATGTTTTCACTTCAGTACTGGAACCCCTGTTGTGCATGTTCTCCGTAGGAAGTTTTAAGTAAAAATTCAAAAAAAACAGAAAAACCAATGGGATTCACTTCCTTTTTTGACAGCAACATGCATGCTATAACAAAAGAGGAACTCTGCAGGAAGGGATTGACAAACTGAATCTAATAGTTATGGCGTTCTGAAACCTTCTGCATGTTTTAAACTGTTTTACCCACCTCTTATTCAAACTGCAAAGTTTGAACACTTTTTACAATGATGAGAAACAAAATACACCCCATAAAATCCCAGCGATTGCACTGGACATAATAGAAGCTGTAATATTGCAAAGAATATAGACCTGGGATCAATGAAAAGGAAAATTTTAGTTCTTCAGAAATTGCACCCTGGTAGAACAAAATGGGAACAGCTCTTCTTTAGGCAAGGGGAGATCAGTTTGGCCACTGGGTTTGTGATTGAACTGGAGAACAGAAGATCTGAGCAGAGGCTGAGATAAATGAACAGCAAAGAAGTTTAGAAACTTCACTAAAAGCTTTATTAAATTACATCAATCCTAGAAATCCACATTATGCTTAGGATTCTGACTTTTTAATATAACAGAAATCTTTTCACAGAAACAGCAGAAATAAAACCTTTGCCACAAATGCATCGATGAACCCTTTGCCCCGGTCTTCCATGATAGTTTTTTTCTAAATTATGGTGTTTTATTACAGAAGAACTACAGTACCATGTGTCTCCAGAGAAAAGGTGGCTGAAGCAACGACAAAAATGCTATGGATGTTTTAAAGTGTGTTTCTCCAAAATAACTGCATCAAAACATTCAAGACCTGGATTTGTTAAAAATGCAGACAGACAGGAACTTAAATATAGTACATCAGCGTTACATTAACAAAATCCAAAAACCGATGCCTTTAAAAAAAAGCTTTTTTTGGAACTTCCACTTATCTCGGCAGACACAAAGATCCCACTATGAGTTCTTTTGGGTTTGGGGATGAGGGAAACGGGCAGTGAAGGCACTGATGTTCTGTACTGACATGTAACAACGTCTTAAGCTCCTCTGTGTATGTGAGCCCTCTGCTTGGTGTCCTAATCTAGCTAATGTGCAACTTGGTTTTAAAATGTATAAAAGGAGTTCCTGTGGGCTGCACCTTTGGTGTGAAAGTAGCTGCAGGTCTTTTGGACACAGAGGTGCGTGTCTCGGGGGATCAGTCAGTAGAACAGGATGCTCTCCTGCGCCGCCTTCATAGAGTCGTCCACAGTCTCATAGTCATGGTCGCTGTCAGAAGGGCTTGCAGGCACTGAGAGACACCACAGAAAAGCAAGAAGGAGGGTTTGAGAATAGCACCGCACAGCTTGTCGGAAAGCACATTTCTCACATCCGCCTCATTCGCACTAGGCAGCTGTGAAGTTGAGAGGTGCCATCGCTGCGATAGAGAAAACGGATTGCAGGCTGCTGACAGCTTGCTTTCAATTACTGCATTTATTAGGCTATGTGATCACTTCATCATTGTCTCTTCACTTTGTTCACATGGTACAATGTAACTGACATTTTTAGGAACAGCACCACAACCCGTGACAGATCTGGCAAGAGGCAGCGTTAGGTCTTGGTTCTGACTGTGTAAAGCAATAAAATTGCACCACAAATCTCACTTTGGGGATCTATTACAGAAACTAATTCATTACTGAACTCTAAGCTCAGGTGCACAGGGAGGAACCCTCTCTGTGTCTCTCTAAATATCTGTCATCTTAAACAGGAAAAACAGTAAACAGGTCGGATGTCTTTTGACAACAAAGTCTAAGTTTCACATTTTTGCCTCCGTTTCAAAAACAAAAAAGCCATTAATGTAGAGTAGGAATTTCCAGTCCTGATCCTGGACCACTCCTGCCAGTTTGTGTTCCAGCCTAGCTCTCATTTACATAATTGAACACCTAATTTGATTTATGAAAAAGGATTAATTTAAAACATTTTCAGCTTTTAAGCACGTTGGATGTTGTCTTTTAAATATTGCATTTCATGAGTAAGTTCCCAAATGTTCATGTAGATAAAAACATGCCAATAATCGGATCAAGCAGGTTGTTAGTTCAATTAAGGGATCAATTATGTGGTGATGCTGGGCTGGAATGAAAACCCGGAGAGGTGTGGCTATGAAAACCAGGATTGGGAACCTCAGATGCAGAGTACCAGAGCCAATGGTGAAATGTGCAGGTAAATTAAAGAGGCTGACCTTTCTTTTTTTTGTCCTTGTGAGGTCTCATGACGTACTCATTGGGCTGTGTCTTCGTGTTCCTTTGTTTGGGTTTTCTGGGCAACAGAGGGGGAGTGTGATCTAAGATCTGCTGTAAGAATGCAGAGAAAAATACATGCAAGTAATGCACAGTGTATTTTTTTATAAACATATATAGATTATCATAAGTAAAGCTGCCAGGCATGATAAAAACATCAAATATTAATAGAGTTCATCTCGGCTTGCTTTGACACAACCATGCTGGAGAGACTGTGGTGATGGAGAAGAAGGTCATTCCCATATATACAGTATGGGCAGTGCCTGAGATTTCAGTCCTATTGGGAAGAAACATGCTCTCTACTCCAAGATCGATTATATGTAGAAATACTAAAATCTTATTCAGTTACTGGTAATCTGCGATACAGCTTCACGTCTTTTGGCAGCAAGCAAGAAAGCTACAGCACATACTGAAAATTATTAAAATAATATTTTCTGCACAGGTGACACAACCTCCATTCAAGCTGCTGTTGTTGAAGAAGGAAAATGACAGTGCTGTGGAGTGCACCTCTAAATGGATAGGGGAAATACATTTTGTAGTATGAGGATATGGAAGGGCCAGTTTTTTAGTAATAATGGTTCTCAGCGTGTATATTTGTAGGCATGAGTTTCAGTTCCTTTTATATGTGAAACAACTTGTTTCAATAATTCACTGTACAGTAATAAAACTTTACTGATTTATTACTTTGTCACTTGTACCTCTTCTTTATTTACTGATTACTCATTAATTTAATCATATGGTTGTGAAGGTGGGTGTAATGAATTAACTTTTCATCACAGGGTGTTACATGTAATGTGTGAACTGTACAACCTTCTCTTGCTGAACAGAACAGTAGAATTTCTCTTCAATTGATCTCACGTGTTATCTTCTTTAACAGAACTTTTAGTACCACGCTTTGTCAGGACAGATGGGGTATGCTATATCTATATCTCCATTTGCAAATGAGTACTGATACAGAGAATGTGACCACTTTGTAGATTGTAGCTTTCTGCTATGACTCCTCTGTCAATATCGGACATTTTACAAGTTACACAATGAAACAGTTGACATTCTTGTTAAATTAGATTAACGTTGCGAAGACTGAATTTCAGGTGAACAATGGTCTTCCACCAGCCTTTACCCTTTATTCGTTTTCTCTGGAGTGTTTAAAAAATAAAAACACTGCATGGTGAGAATCCAGGACCTTTTGTAAAGGGACTCACAAATGTTGGCAGTATTGCCAACATACAGATGCACTGGAGCTCATCCACAAAACATTTCTGTTAATGTACTTCAATTTTCAAAAGCAGTCAACTCCAGGGAGTCTCTTCATGTGTAAGACATGAGTGGACTGTAATAACGTTTTAGCTGGAGTAACCAGCAGGGTAAGAAACAATTTGTTTCTAACTAATATTAAACACTGCAGAGAGCTCAGTGTAAGCAGAAATATGCTAATATATTTATTATTTGAATCACCTGATTCTGCTTCCTAGTATTGCAAAATACTTGAATCTCGGACCCTTACAAAGATGTTTGTACATCCTGCAATACTGTCACGGAGAAACAAACCATTATAGAAGGGGAATATTTTATTGAGGTTTAATGTTTTGCTTTTATTTATATGCAGCATACCAACTGTTGAACTTAGGCCAAAGGACATATCTCCTAATATTTCATTACACGTCCTGTGAATGACAGAATGACAAGGTTTCAAAAATTGCCCATATTCTATGCCAACTGCACATATTCTACGCCATTAGACAGCCAAGAGATTCTTTCAGCAGGTAGAACTTTTTCAGTGAGATTTTTCAATGGTGGTGGAAGAACCTCTAACACAGGCTGTAACCTAGGGGAGCTAAACACTGAAGGGGATGATAAAAATACTCAGGCAGCCTGCTGGGCAGGAACTCCGTACCCACTGAGAAGAAATGCTGTCAGAACAGGCTTGTACTTTTTTTTTAAAACAAAAAAAAGGAAGTATGATTTTGGTTCCCTTTCCATCCTCTAATGTTATCTCAACTATCTGCATTTCTTAAATCGTCCAGTAGCCAAGGCCTTTTTGTTTCTTTCAGAAGATCTCAATACCACAAAAAAAGCCCCCACCACCTCTTTCTTGTTATTTTGTGAGAGTTGAAAACGAGCTTTGGGGGGGGAAGGCAAAAGATTTTGACATGTTTAAAAATCACATGCTTTAAGATTCTGGAGTACAATACTTGTCGTGCGTTGCAAGTTTAAAGAACACACGAATATGTCACTAACAGCATCATATGGAGGGTAATGTACTCTCAAATGCATTTTTTGCATGTTGATATTAGAAAAGACCATGCCATGCTAACAGCGAGTCATGGGTCAGAAAGTGTTCTTACCAGAGAAGTGTCGCTCTGTGTTTCAGGGCTGATGGTCAGCTTGTCCATCCGTGGAGGTAGAGAGTCCTCTAAGGGCAGCGTGGGTAAAGCTTTGCCCTTTGGCTGTACTGAGGAAGGAGGGAATGGAGAGGCCGGGGAATGTTTGGATGATTTCTTTCTCTTGGGAGGCCGAGGGGGCGGGGGCATATCACTGGAGATGAGCTTGTGGAACTCGTAGTAGAAATTGTCCGTCACCTCGAACACCGTCTCCCTGCGCAGCTTAGGGGGCTGGTCCTTCGGCCAGGGGAGGGGGTTGTCAGTGAAATACAGGGACATGTTGAGCCATTGGCTGGGCAGTTCGAAGCAAACATCTGGCCTGTCAGGGAGGCTGGCCAGCACTGTGGGCTCAACTGTTGTCTGCTCCAGCTTTAGGGCTGAGAATCCGCCCAGCGGGTCGTTCTCTAGCCCAGGGTCCCGCACTGCCACCTTGACATCCAGGGGCAGACAGAAGGACTTATAGATGTCTACTAGGCTGTACTTCTTGTTGTCCTTCAGCTTCTCCACAAAGTTGCCCTCCAGATACATGGGCAGACAGATCTGCTCATACTGTTCCTGGACCTGCTCCTCCTCATCCTCGTCGTCTTCATCTAGAAATCTGTTGCAAACCAGGACGTCAATGATTTGCTGCTCTCCATCACAGTTCAGCTCCATCTGTTTGGTGAACAGCACCTCCAACTGTTCCCCGACACTCAGGGAAGGCAGGTCCTCTTCTGGGGACTCGCAATGCTTGGACACGTTGACGCGCAAACCTGGAAGCTTGCTGGAGGCGACAAAAAGGTCATAGACGGTGGCAAACTCTCTGGGCCGTCTGCGTAGGCGTCCGGCATAGCTCTGAGAGATGAAAAAGTGCTGCTTGGCCTTTTTGCCTGTGAGGCTGGAGGCCAGGACCATATGGGACTTCTGGTGCCCGTGCACGATGAGCTGTTGGCCTTTTCGTAGTGCAGACATCCAGTGGCACTTGAAGAACGTCTGGTTCTCGGGCTCTTCAAGGATCTCGGCAACAGTTGGGAATGCGTGGTCAGGCTGGGATGATACCTCCTTCAGGGACAGGGGCAAGATGAAGGTGACATCCTTGGACTGCTCCGTCACATCAGTCACATCCACTTCCAGGTTGGAGGGGAACTTCACCACGTTTTTCCTCACTACCAAACAGAAAGGACAAAGAGACTGTGAAGAGAATGGAAATGTTATAGGCCAAGGACGCTTTGTCTGTATACCACAGAGCAGTTATACCACAGACTATTAGAGCAGCTTGTCTGTTCATGAAGGAGGTGTACAGACAAACGCTGTCAATCTCTCAGCTGACCAGGTGCACTAAATTCCCACAGACATGGGCAGTTTGCGGAAATCTATTGATTAGAAATCTTTTTAGAAGAGATCTTAGATTTTCAATATAATAGGGGTGATAGCACATCTACAGTACAATATATGTGCAAATCTGTGCAATCATGACTGGACAGTTCTAAGTCAGAATCCCTTCTAAAAGCTACATTTTGAGAGTTGAAATACTGTATACTATACAAATTCAAGTTTGGCCTGAACTGAGTAGCAGTACTAGCTAAATCAGTTAAAACGCTTTCCTGTGGACAAGGCTGCTTCCGAGTTTCCCTTTACTAAAGCAGCACACATCCTCTTAGTTTCAAAAGGGTTAAATTTAGGGCAACAAAAAAATATACTCTGAAATTAGGTTATCCTCTATTTCCGGCTTGCTGAAATGTACCAAGCTATCTTTGTACATTTCAACATGTGTTCTCTTTTGTCATTGAAAGTAGTCACTGTAATTGCAGGTAGTTGTTTGTAAATATCAAGGTAAAAATATACAAATGAAAGCAAAGCAGCAAAGCAGGCAAAGATAAAATGGACAGTAAAGGGCAAGTAACATTGACAGAGACACTGAGAGGTACGAGCTATAAAGTGAGATCAGCCTTGCTGACTTCACCCAAACCACTCCTACATGCTCCACTATTAGCAAACCCCACAGACAGCGAGGTGCGGCACACCCAAGACGCAAATAAGCCTGGGGTCAGAACCCATTATGCACTGCAGCTCAAGACTAGATGAGGAGCCAGGGTCAACCAGTCAAGCAGAAACACTCCAGACCCTCAACCTCCCACCTCCTTCTGGGTTATTACTCACAGTGCATGATGGCCTGGACCTGGTGGACAGGAGTAAAAATCAAGGGCCCTCCAGACGAGCCATTCCAGTTCATGGCCTTGACGGGGAGGAACCGACGGCAGCGCAGCTGGGGGGAAGCCAGTATCTGCGAAATGCTGTACTGGTTATTGTTGACGTACTGGTAGAACTCCCCGCGGCAGGAAAATGGGATCAAGACCTCTGGCGACCCCGCCTGGTTTTGCAGCAGACAGCGAGCATGAGGCTGGCCCTTGCAGGTCTCCTCGGACAGGAAGGTGAGCATCTCCCCAGAGTGGAGCGTGTACTTCCCCAGGGCCAGCGCATGGCAGGTGGCGAAGGTGAAAGGGCTGATGTTCTCTCCCCCGATCGGCATCAATCCCACAATCTCCTCGATTGAGGAGTAGCTCACTTGCTCTTGAACAAGTTTGAAAAGGCCTAGGCAAACCACAAGAGAGATGATTAATAATTCCTTGCATTTTTATAGCAATTTTCGTCCCACATGCTTCGTCTGCTCCTGCAGTACAGCAGCTACCTGGAAGGTGCACAGCAGCCATTCTGCGCTCACAGCCCTACTACACAGCAGTTGAGCTGCAGAAGTTAGAAATTATTCCAGCAGTTACATTCAGGAGGAAATTGAGGGAGAAGAGACTGTGGAATTGCGAGGACACTTGGGTCAACATTCCCACAGTGGTCAAACATTCATTAAAATCCTCAGCTAGTTAGAACCTCAGGCAACTCTTACAGCACAGTGTACCCTGTTACCATAGTGGGGTCACATGCAGGCAAGCAGTAGTACCTACAAAGAGTGTTTTACTTTAATGGTGGGAGGTTGGACATCTTAAGCTAACTCCATAGAATCGTCTTTGTCCTTGCACCACACTGATGCAGCTTCACAAAGCAATGCATGGGACATTGTCACATCCAAGGCTTCAAAGCTTTGTGCCGAGCCTAGGCTGACTATTAAAATACAGGAAGAGGCAGGGCACCTTATATACTTTTTCGGGGACCCAAAGGCAACACAGCTGCTGTTGGCGAGATGGACCACTTCATGCACACTTGTATTTGAAGGGTTTTAAGGCGGCTTTCATCCAATTCTTTTTGTTCCCTCCAATTACCCAATTGAAATAAACTCCCAATTGAAACAGAAAAAATACAATAAAATAGAAATCGAATTTTGTTTCAATGATTCACCAGCAGTAATCTACATAAAAGGAAGGCACTGCTGTTATGTAGTTGTTGACGTAATATACTGAACACAAATTAAAATGTTACTGTGTGGCAAACAACACTGGAACACTGCACCTCATCATTTCCATATAAACTGTATATGCAATGCCTTGAAAATCAAAGGGGGCAGTTCTGATTTTCTCAACCCAAAGCTGTTTCACTGCTTGTCCTGCTTGTTCTAAGAGCTTGCAGAGAGGAATTTTGAGTTTATTTGGAGATACTTTGTGTTTTTGCCATCAGATGAGTCTGTCTGCAACTAACATAACAGTAACTAGCCACCAGAAGATATTTTGGTCCTGCAAATTCTAATGAATTATTCAAATGAAGTGATGTTTCTACCTCCAGCAAGTTAGCAGTTTAAGCATTGCAATTTTTTAAATGGCTGTACTTCCATTTTATATTGCCAGTGCTATTCTTAAACTTGTTTCAAATCTGTTGCAATCCAGTGACCTAGTTAGGAATATATTTAACAGGAAAAAAGTTAATGTAAAACCTAGCATGAAACATTAACTCAGTTCTGTACTTTATCCACCTCTGATAAAATTGTTGGAGGCAATGAGAAACAATAGTGTGAGTCAGGCACTAATCAGACCCCTGCTGGATAGAGCTTGACACCTGTTTGGCTGTGATCACAGAATGACATACCACAGCTAGAGTTGTAATTTGCAACACATGTTGGAACTAAGCTGAGAACATCATTCCTAAAGATGCCTAAAGGTTATGACACAGTATGACTTCTCAGACATTCCTTAGTGCAAGTGAGCCCAACACTGGTAGAGAGCCACAGACAACAAAGTCTTATCGGTCACCATTAAATCATTGATTTCTAAAGACTTGGAATCCTTATGAGTTTTGTTCACTTAAGTGAGTTACCTGGCCCAAATAAATCAGGAGTAGCCAACTGTGGGCCCTGGGGCTGGACGGTCTTGGGTTCATGCCAAATGACCTTTATACATCTTAACTGAACAAAGTTAAGTGGTCAGAATGCACTGTAATTGCTCCTAGTGTATAGAAATGAATGAGCTAAGGGTGACTAAAAGTCATGCTGTCTTAGGGCTCTCCAGGACCTGGGTGGCCACCCCTGGAAGAGGTGGTCTTAAGAGTTTTGGGTTCTATTAGAGGAACCTTCTAAGGCTTGGCTCAATCTGCAGTCTGCACACTTCCCAGCGCAGCTGAAATCATGCAGCTTCTCTTTAGGAAGGAAATGTTGTCTTTATGTGCCAGAACTTTGAATTTAAGATATACAAACTGACCAGACGACATACAATCGTCCTGCAGAGTGCCAGGTTTGTGTATCTTCTGGGTTTAAGAGGTGCATTCGTACAAACCAAGGAGTCAGTACCTGAGTGGCTGGCGGGCAGTTCGAATGTTTCCTGCGTCTTGACGTCCTGGCAGCTGACTGACAGGAGCTCAGTGTGGATCACCTTCACCAGGTCTCCCGTGGACAGGCACACCTCACTCCCAGACAGCTCGTACACCGACCCTGCCACACACGCAGGGTTTCAGACTCGCTCCAGGCAACAGGACAAGTGAGCACAAACTGACATAAAGTGAGGTTGGTTTACAAACAAGGCTGGAAGCCCATTTAGAGAGGTGAAACAGGTCACAAGGACGAGACTGTAACTACACTGGAGCTGGCAGGGTTTTAACAAAAGGGCATGTCTGGATAGGTTAAATGACCTCTTCTCTGTACAGCTGAATAGAAAGTGAATGCCCTTACTGAATTACACACACCAGCTGCCTTTAGCCAGACGATAGATTGTTGAGCATGATTAGTGCTTTTCTGCAACAGATTTGTTTTAGTTTTGTCAAACAGCAAAATCAACAATCAGCTTCTAATGAACTATGGATTAGTGTTGGGTGCTGTCCCATTTTTAACTCACAGAGAAAAACATGGCTCCAATTGTTTAGTACTGTACTTTCCCTGCAGTACTTCATCTCCCTTTTGCCTCTTGGTAAATCTTGAGGTTAGATTGAATGTCTACAGTTTGCTTCTGTTTCTTTTTTTGAAATTTCCACATCTCTGTTCTGATGAATTGTGAGCATGCCACATCTATGCAGTACCTTATCTCACTGAGAACATACACTCCGTGTTGGACTCAAGAAAGCAGTACAGCTGAAAATGACCCCAGTACGTCAGACTGTCTCTGGGAATTTATATTTAAGCCTAATGATTAAGCGTAATGGTACTCCAGTTTCCTGCCCAAAGACATACTGATAGGCTCATTGGCTTCTGGGAAAACTGGACTGGCGTCCCTTCCAGGATGTACCCTGCCTTGTGCCGTTTGCTAGCCGGGATAGGCTCCAGCTGCCTTGTGACCCAGCATTGGATAAACTAGTTAGAAAATGGATAGATTGTCATCTAATCTGTTTTTTTTTTATTTGATTTATTTATCAAAGAAATTAAGAAAAGCTGGTCTGCAATTCTCAGTTAAAACAGTTAACTCTTCCTAACATTTTAACTCCACATCTGACTCTTATATTGTTATTCACTATCTTTTTAAGCCTTGCATGGCCATTTTGTTTTATTTCCATTATTTCTAATTCAGATAACATTTGCAGAAGTCCTACTATGGAAAAGGGGCAGAGAATGTTGCACAGCTTCCTTTACTTCACTCAAGTAAAGAAGCATGCATTCACTATTTTGATTACTTCCTCCGAGTTTTCTGGAGAGAACAGCTATAAAGAAAGTGAACAGATGGCTGATGTTTCTTACTGGATTTATTTTTCATAAGGTGCTCAACCAACTCCCATCCAGCAGTTTACTGGGCTGATTCAATGGCCAAATTACCATTGGGTACCAGAAAAGAATGATCTGTCAGGAGGTCTTCTCTCACCTCTAAACTCTCTCAAGAACCAGTTTTTGATTGTTGTGTGTGGTGAGGTTTCTTCAGACAGGAAGTACAGTGGTATGACTTCAAGAGAAATGTTCTGCTTTCATGGCAGTTTCGATTTCACTAAATTAATACACAGTGCTGTTCAGAGTTTTGATTACCAACATTGCAGGACGCTACATGATAAGCCTAAATAATCTCAGCAGCTTTAACACTTAGTTGAAACAACTAAATGTCAGTTGATCTACTAAGTTATTCAACTCAGTGGAAACCCTGGAAAAGCAGCTAAGAATTGGTTTGTGTCTTCAAATTTTGCTTTGACTGATTGTTAGATGAGATCCAACCTCCTTGCTTTTAAGAGAGGTGAAGTACTGACATTTTTAATGCTGAAGGGTGTTGCTTTTTTAACATTCAGCATTTTCCAGACAGGGGCTGAATTAAGTTGCAAAAAAACAAGAGGAGGTCATTGGTTTTGGACTTGCTCATTAGGCTGCTAAAGCTAATTAATAGTTGAGCCTCATCCTGAAAAAGCCTATGGAGTTTTGTCTTTTTAATAATAATATTATAATATCCTTATGCTTATAAAGCACTTTTCTGGACACTCACAAGTGCTTTACAGATAATGGGAACTCATCTCCACCACCACCAATGTACACTTGTCCCCTGGATGATGCAACGGCAGCCATAGTGCGCCAGTACGCTCACCACACACCAGCTCTCAGTGGGGAGGAGAAAAGAGTGATGAGGCCAGTTCAGAAATGGGGATTATTAGGAGACCAGGGGAAAATCTACAACATGGCTAGTAATGCAATCCAGAACTTCATGACCATTTGTATAATATTTCTTATAGGGTATAAGAAAAAGTAGATCAACTAGGAAGATATCGTTTCCAATTTAAAAACAATGAGTGGTGGCATTGTTTACAGTAACTTGACAGAGCTCAACAGTTAAGATAGGGTGCCTCAGAGCAAAACAGGTTTGTCCCAGCTTGATTTCACCTTCCTACAGCCTGCATCTCTCTGAAGACTGTGGCTTCACACAGGAACACAGGAATGTCCTGGAACACGGGAATGTTTGTATGCTGTTGGTAAGAAAGCAAAAGCTCAGAAAGGGATAGAAACGGAAAAGTCCAGTGTCCAAATCCCTAATGACTGCAGCCAGACAGTTGCCCTAGATAGTACAAGGCTCCAGCAATACATCCTTGCAATCAGTAACCTTGTTGAACGAGTTTTGTCATAGCAGCTTTTCTGATCTTTCCATTTGGTAGGGAATTTCAATTGATGGCATTCATTTTGCTCAAAGACTCTTGGACGTTTACAGGGCCTGCCAGCTTATTGAGAGAGTCTGTGGTCTTCCTGCGGGGTGGCAATAGGTTCACTTCATCCAATTCAGGCATCAGGTGCCAGGTGCGATGCCCCCTGGACGGGACGCTAGTCCATCGCAGGACAGGTGCAAAGATCACCAGTTAAAACTTCACGGAAAAATCCACATCTGTGAGACAGGTTGCGCTGATGCTCTCGAAGAACTACGTCATGAAGTTTGAAGAACTACATTCAGGAAGTCAATCACCTGAACAAAACCAAATCCTACACTTCTGTGAGTGCAAGAATAAACCCTGCCTTTGCGCCTACACTTGTTTTACCAGACAAGTGAAAAAGATCAAGTTTTACATAAAACGTCACAAATCTATCTCTGTAGTCCTAGATTATAAAAACATTATCTAAATTATATATACAAGTTCAAAAGTATAATAATACAATTAATATTAATATTTAACTAATATACAATATATTATATTATAATAGAAAGTACAGGACAGTGTACAGAGTAGTACAGTACAACTATACTAGTCTCGTACCAGTAGCTGTACGGAGCATCGATGAAAAGGAGCCTGATTAATTTTTCTGTAAGACCTATGTTTACATTAACTCATTTGTACTTGCCTCCCAAGGGACCCATATGATTAGGGACTTAACTGTGAATGCTGAAATAGTGCACCATGAAAATTAGATTAAAAATAGAGCTAACTGTAAGAACAGCAGAAAAAGGAAATGTACATCAGATATTCTTAAGTTGTTCACATATTTGTTTGTCTCTTCTTTGAATCAGAGGTTTAGTGAACATTGTTTAAGTGTATAACTTCAATGCAGTTGTGCATGGGGCTCTGATCTATAATACTTACTCTAACTACACTGCCAGTGTGGTTTCATCTTCTTCACAATTCACCCCTGTACCTCAGCAGTATTGCTGGTCTAATAATATTAATAATTTATCATTGATACTTTGTTACTTCATTTTACAACTTTAATGATACATCATCTCAATGTGCTTAAAAATAATCACCAAAAGTGACCTGTATACACAAATCGATAAAGTGAGGAACTCTCGGGGAATTACTGTAATATGTACAAAAAATGGTAAAAATCCGCAATATTTCACAGTTAATTAACAAGGCTAAGATTAGTTAGGTAGGTACAGTAGCTGTCTCAGCATGCGTAGGCTACAAATCACCAAGTAAAGGTTTATTCCATAAATAAACTCCAATAAACCTTTACTAGTTCCTCTGAAGGCTAATATTTGCAAATTTACTTTTTTTCCCCATCAGCAAATTGGCATCTAGCAAAAAGTTGTTGTTTTTTTGCTGTTGAATGGGGTTACAACCTCTGTAAGTATTACACAACTAAGTGATTTCAATGCACACACAGATCATCCTGACTGCTGACCTGCTGCCTCTTTCCAACCTACTATGGAAGGCTGTGGTTTTCCTCAACAGTTCGCCTTCACAATACATAGCTGTGGCAATACAATGGGTTTTCTTGGTATTCTTTGTTAGTTCATCTTCATTTCTTCTGACTACTTATTGAATTACTGTGGTGTTATATTTTGCAGACCATCTGCCTCCTACGAACAGTAAATGGACTATGACTATCTGCAGACTGAGTCGAATAAATCCAACTAGTCAGATCAATTGATTGATCTTTATTATCAATCTTATCATTTATCAATTAAACAGTGGAGGACTGGCAGGGATAGTGCCTATGACCGAACAGGCCCAGAGAGCCCAGCCACAGTGTAGGAGAAGGCTTTTCAGTTCTGGGTCAGTTCCTTTTCCCATGTTTCCATCTACTCAGAAAATTACGCAGAAAAGTTGTATATTAAAGACAATAAGCAATGTAAACATTCGATTTGAAGATGATGATGTTGATTATTATTATTATTCATTCAAATAAGTTCAAATAAGACTTCAAATTAATCATATTGGGACACCGTGTGTGCCCTGCGATGGACTGGTGGCCATTCCTTGCATCCAATCCTTGCTGTTATAGGCTCTGGCAATATTGAGACAATTGGGCTTAGATCTGCAACATCAGGTTCACTTAAACCCTGCTACTCACTGCCTGCTACTTCAGTCTCAAGTCTGTGTGCAGGAGAAGAGAGAACAAAAATGAACTGGAAGAAAATGGCCTTACGGATGAGGGAGGCACAGTTTGACATCTGCTTGTGCTGAATGCTCTGCCATACCTTTGAAGGCTGTTTCAATTGGGTCTGCTCACTAATGGCTTAACGGGGATTACGTCACCCTGCACTAGCTGGAAATATAAGGGACTAAACTGCCTTCCCTTGTTTGTGCATTTTCAGAGAGTTATTATTTTAATACGTAATTAATTTAAATAAAACAGGTTACACCATGTGGGAAATGGGATACTTTTTCCCGTGTGACTGATCTCCACATAAAAAGGAACCTTACTCTTGCACCATTCATTTTATGCGTTTGATGTAAATTCCAACCTGATTCAACGAACTGTTTCACTTGGCTTCACATAAAATTAAAATTAAATGGCTTGGGATTTTCCCCACTGTTTCATAGGATCTGCAGGGTACACTTCCTTGTACACTAACTACAAAAATTCACTCTGAGCTGATTAAATATTTACTTGTACTGCAGATAACTCCCTAAACACAGTGATTTGACTGGCATTGCCTGCGAAGGCTGTAAAACTGAGGGTAGGTATGAAATATAAATAAAGGCACTATGTATTCTCACAAATACATAGCTCGGGTGGAGCAGTGGCTCTGTGGCTAAGGATCTATACCAGTAGCTGGAAGGTTGCTGGTTCAAATCCTGCAGCTGGCAGAGGAATCCTACTCCGTTGGGCCCCTGACCAAGGCCCTTAACCCCAACTGCTCCAGGGGTGCCGTACAATGGCAGACCCTGCGCTCTGACCCCCAGCTTCTCTCTCACTGTCTGTGTGTCTCATGGAGAGTAAGCTGGGGTATGTAAAAAGATAATTCCTAATGCAAGAAGTTGTAAAGGGTTATAAAGTAATGTTATATATATATTATATAAATAAAAGTGAAAACCTGTCACACACTTGAATGTAAGCAAGTTACATTCTGTTTTTCTGTGTAAACTCAGGCGGTGTACCAGGGCTGAGTTTGCAATATTTATGTTGAGAAGGTCATCACAGGACCTAGTGATACAAGTCATACCCACTTCCTCTCACCCAGCCTAATCCTTAATAATGGGCAAGCCCGCACGAACAAACACAGGCTCGAGGACAGAGTCTCCTCCAACCCTTTGCATTTACACATGTTTGTTCCTGTGAATCTCCATTTATGCTCCCAAGTAAAATGGTCAACGACCAAAGGAAAAGCAAATTATGCAAATCATGAGACGCCAGGTTCCACGCAGCCTGGAGTCTGGTTTGCAGTGGGTTCCTGTTCTGCAGAGTGGATATTATAGAAGTAGCACTAGTTAGAAGTAAATATAGCAAAAAAAAATAGAGAAATATTGCTTCCCTTCCTGCTGTACCTTCTTTATCACTGGACCAAAATCAATGTTTTATTTCCTTCCAATTGTTCCCAGTGTTTTAATTGTTTCCTTAAACGTCTGACCAATCGACATTTTTAGAATCTTTCCCTACAGAGAGAATCTCGGGCTTTGCTAAACTGGCCTCTTCCTGGAGTTCATGGATGCGTGTGCGGGAATTTGGGGACAGCTGGAATATGCTGGGAGCTTCTGCAGTTACAAATGAACCGACGTGTATCAGCATGTGGTTCATGCCGGGATGAACGGCAGCGCTTCTTCAAATCAGAAACCAGACTGCATGGTCACTACTAAACAATGTGTTTCGCTCATTCTTGAGGGTTTCTTAGAGGATTCGCTAGTTTAACAATAAGGAATAACAAACGAGATATCTTTTTTATTTCGCTGAGCTAGTTCTGATTAATTTAAACTGTGTTCCTTAGTTTGGGGTGGGAAATTCTTACTATATCAATTCATAAATCGATCCCTGGGCAGTTGTAGATACGGTAAATGTGAAACCAACATCGGGGTCACAGTAATATTAAACTCGTATATTCCAAATGACGCCGTGTGTTGTGTCTGCATCAGTAGATACTGTCATTAATCTGTTGTACGGTGGCCTATCTACATGTTTTTTACTTTCAGTTTTCGCCTTAAAAAGAAGTGTCATATGGCCTACCGCCAAACTGATATGCGTAATAAAACTTTATTTTCCTTTGGTAAAAAAAAACAACAATCCAGAGATCATCAGAACTCAATTCCACGAACTACTGTTTACACACAGCTGGTGTGTACACTAGTCTTTTTTGAAGCAAGAAGAGAGCAGGGTTAACAAATGAATGCTTAAAGCGCTACTATTTTAATTTTATTTGGAGTTCATATAGTTACATTTCTATTTTACTCAAAACAAAAGCCTGCGGTGTCCTTATATGGCAAAAATAGATCAACTTCAAACCTGTCCAATTAACATACATGTAATAATTATTTACGGAAGTAATTGTTATTTTTTTTCATATTGGGACACAGTAGTGTTTTATCTCCATTCCAGACTCGTTGTTACACTCCAGAAATTATAATAATTTTGGGGCAGTGAAAAAGATTGTCCGTATCTACCATCAGTCTTTAAATCTAATAATGCTGGTAGTACAGTATCGTTTCTGTGTGGTACTGCTCCTGTGAACAACTTTTTTTTTCTACCAAGACCCTTTTCTACAGGCTAATCTTCATTTGTGTGCTTCATGTCCAAGGTATAGGATTACGCTCTGTCCTCTGTCTGGTCTCCGTTTTGGCAAAACCACTGTACTTACCTTGAAAATAAACCCCGGAGCAGACCTGCAGGACGCGCGGCAGCGTGGACGCGTCCACGGAAGCGATGTATTCCTGCAGGGACAGAACCTCACCGCTGGAGCCAGCCATCGCCGCCTGCCCTGGACGAACCGGATTGTCAGAACCGATGGTTTGCTACCCCTGGAAAGGGCGAAGCGCCGCTGTATCTCGTGTGTCCCCGCTTTACCACGCACCGAGAAGAGCAGGAAGCGCCGAAGAGCCCATCGCGTCTGCACAAGTGGGAGAGGACTGCGGTTTAACAGCTCATCCCACAAGGCAAGGCGAACTCGCTCGGTGGCTACACCTGTCTGTGAACCTGATCGAGGACTTCATACGGTACAAAATCCAGACAAATGGGAGACTGACTTTTAAGGTCGTCGTCCTTAAAGTTTAGGAGAATTAATTACCCTCAAATGTTTCCTCTTTATAATTATACGGTTTTCCTCCATCAATGCACATTAATGCACGTAGTTGGACAGCCTTTTTGTTTAAAAACAAATATAGGATTCACTATCGGTTCTTTGATGCAAAACACTTTAAGGGCATGTAGACACTTGTCAAACGACATCGCACTCTTAATTAATACTTAATTACTAAAATACTCTTTTCAAGAAACGCCCTGAGATTTTAATGACCACAGAGAGTCAGGACCCCCGTCTTACATCTCATCCGAAGGACGGCACCTTCTTACTGAATAGTGTCTCCGTCATTGTACGTGGGCATTAGGACTCAGAAGTTCAAGACTGAACATTTTTAGTGCATAAAAGCCGACATATTTTCCATTCGTATTTAATTGGCGTAATGGCTTTACCCAACAGAAGGGGGACAAATATATCCTTTAGATTTTTGAGCTGCTGAGTTATATGTTCTGTAAGCTGAATTATAAAAATCTTTTTAAACTTTCCATCACGAGACCTGAAAGAGGGCAGAAATATATAAATGTACTTGAGCAGATGATTAGACTGAATAAGGAAGCAAAACGAAAACAGAGAGGTCCACTTTTCGAATTTGGCACCCCCCCCTACCAAAGTCTTTTATGAGTCTTCACATTTGTTACATTTAAGAAAAGCTCTAGGGGACAGACTGTAATAACATATGGTCTGTAAAAGGAGATAATAGTGAGTATGAAGTAAAAAATGAAACAACTGTAGAAAGTTCACTGACGGTGAGAAACCTGGTAGGGTTTGATATAAGCTTAGTTTTCTTGCCATGAATTACAGTGCTTATTCTGCAGTATCAACTTCTGTATTTCCAGAGCACTGAGGGTGGTGGAGTTCATTTGCTTATCAGAGGTCTCTAGAGTGTAGAGCTGGCAGTGGAGAGCAGCAGAGAAGAAAAATGTTCTCAGATAGCACCTGGACTCCCCCCACACCATCCCATCCACACACAGTCTGTGACCTAGCTGGTGCCTGGCTCCTCTGTCCAGCTGGTGTTGGTGTGTGTGCCAGTCAGTGTGCTATTCACTGTGCTAGGAGGTGTGTTGTGTTTTGCACTATTCTGAATATCAGAACTTCATGGAGTGAGGTGACGTGGCGTTTCCCACTACAGCTGAGTGAGCTGTGGGAGCAACGCTTTAGAAATGAGTCTTCCAGGAAAAAAAATACATCATCTTCCTGTAACGCCTGTAAAGGGAAGATTATGAAAGATACCTTTGAAGTGGCTAGGAAATTCATGGCACTTTGACAAACCCCAACATTTTGGGACAGTAAAGGAACAGGTAATAGGTTTATTCCATGCCGAAAAGAGCAGAAAGAAAACACAACGTTTCGGCTGTGAAGCCTTCTTCAGGTGTAAGCTGAAAAGAGAAGAAAGCTTACACCCGAAGAAGCCTCTACAGCTAAAATGTTGTGTTTTCTTTTCTTTTCAGCAGGGAATAAACCTATTACTTGTTCCTTTGCAGCCTACGCATGCTGATGCAGCTACCCACCTGAACTATTTTGGGACAGTGCTGCTGAACTGTGAAAGAGTGCAAGGCATTCTGTCAGCAGGACTGCTGGAGAATCGGTTTGGTTATGATCCAAGAAAGGTAAATTGTGATTATCCGAGTCATGCTGTCAAGTTATATGTTAGGTAAATTGATTTTATGGGGTCCTGCAAAAGCTTAGTGAGCTAGCTATTAGTGATCACGTAAAAATAAAGTTTCAAACAAGAGAAGGTAATGTAGAAAATCTATTTTTTTGTAACTAAGTGACCTAAAGGATCTCATCCATTCATTTCTTGAAGGAGACCGGGTATTCGCATCCAAAACTGTGACTGAGCAATTTGTTCCATACTCTCACAACTCTCTAGGAGCAAAGAAGTGCCTCCTGTTCTCAGTTTTAAAGTGCATATCCCTGTAGTTTCCACTTTTGTCCTCTGAGTTTTCTATATTTGTATAAGGTGCACTCATTGTCTTTTCTGTTCAAGACTAAAAGGTTCCGATGTTTCTGCATGTCGGTGTAGAACATTGCTTTAAGCCCAGGAATGTATCTGTGTAATGTATCACATGAAAAAGAAGAGTATAATGATAGGCTTGTGCTTGCTGCCTTCACATTGGCATGTTCTTGATGTTACAAGACGTTTCAAATAAAAGACCATTTAGCACATCCATATCTTTTGAGGGATCCTCGGGCATCAACACTTTTGACCAAAGTAGCTGATCACTTCATTTCTTATAAATGTAATTTTGTCATTTCACTGAAGAAAGGAGAAGCTATGTGGCAGGCTGTTGTCTGAGTCATTACCACACACTTATTCTGTAAAAAGAAAAAGAAATAGAAACAAAAGTTACATGTAGCTTCCTTAAATGTATTGACGGCTTTTGAGCACTTTTATTTCTGGACTTCCGTGTAAGTGCTCTAGCTAACAAACCCACGTAGAGTGCCTGTATTTACCTACAGTATATTTAGTGGCTTCTTATCTTCTACATAACCTATACTTTACGTGTTGTGTTTGACACAGGCTGGTTCGGCCCGAGAGAGCTCCTGCCAGCTGTGGTTGTGTTTGACACAGGCTGGTCCGGTGTGAGAGAGGTCCTCCCAGTTGTTGTTGTGCGTGACACAGGCTGGTTTGGCCCGAGAGAGGTCCTGCCAGCTGTGGTTGTGTTTGACACAGGCTGGTTCGGCCCGAGAGAGG